TATGGAAGAATGTGTAAATTTCACCTACCACATTTGACAATCCTGTAGAACTGTTTTCAGAGAACTCTACAATGGTTCCCTCAATGAAATAAGGATAAAAATAATCCACATGCATTAGCTGGAATGATTAAATATTATTGTTCCTTTAATGCATTCAGTGAAGGAGCTAGTGCTATTCATTTTCCATAGCATGGAAGATAGAATCTCTTGCCATTTTAATAAGGAATTTTAATTAGGAATCTTCCAAGAGTTTGAAATTGGGATGATTGTGGAAGAACTCCCCAGTAATGTCATTGTAGCAAAGATAAACTTTGATGCATGCAAAAAATGACATTGTCCTGATTCCAAGAATTACACTCAATTTATCAGAAGGTTCCTCTTCAGTGGGCAGTTCTGAATTCATTCATGCTTTGCTGTCACTATATATAAAGAGGGAGAACAAACCATGGAGAATGATTTATCTGGAGAAACCAGTATTCCAGCATAGTCAGCTGTATGTGGCAGATCAATCACAATTGTTGTCATCAAAAGTATCCTTTGTTAAATAAGAAGCATCTATATTTGTGTCTTGTTACAGATCTTTCTTCTTTAATAAAATGATGGTTTCATTTTCTTTAATTTTAAAACCAAAACAGCACCAATTACTGTTTGTTTAAGTAAGGAAATATCTCTAAAAGGGTGACCCAATGGATCACAGGTTGTTTTGTCCAAGATATACAGCCAAATGTCACAATTTCCAACATTTATGCAGGAACAAAAGATACATTTGAAGAAGAAATAAAGCAGTTCTGTGCCGACATTCATAAAGTGCTACATCAAGTGCCAATATATATACAGTATTCATTATGGAATAGTCCAACATCAAAATTGATGAATGTCACATGAATACATGGCATCCCAAAATGGACTGTACTACAACCAAACCGATTACATCTTATACAGCCAACAGTGGGGGGAAAAAACATATTTCTTTACTTTTGCTGCAGACTGTGGTTTGGACCACAACTATTTGTAGCCAAAGTCTGTTTCAGATTCAAATTTGAACACCCAGGAAATATGATACCAAAAAGAAAAAAGAAATTATGTTCAGCTGAAATTAAGGAACAATACCAATTTGCTTAATTAGATAAGAGAAAGGAAAAAATGAAAAACATCAATAAACCAGTTCAATAAACCAGTTCAGAAACATGTTGCATATACACATTAAAAAACCTGAAAACAAGGAAATAAATGGTGAGCAAAAGAAACTATCCAGATCGCTGAACCAAAAAGAAAGCTAAAATTATGGGCAATAGAGATGAGGCAAAACAGCTAAATGAAGAAGTTTAACATAAAACTAGAAAAAATAATAAAATTAGATTTCACAGAACATGCATGTAAATTTCAAAATTATGTATATTTATCCTTCATTGACTATGGTAAAACTGTTCATTGCACTAAATATGAAAAATTATGGAAATACCTAAAAGAAAAGGGCATTCCAAAACTCCTGATTCACTTCTACTATTCTATCAGTTTTTCTATTAAATTTATATATTGAGGCAGTATTGAGGAACTTTAATTTAGATGACTTGAAAATTGAAATAAAAGCATTTAAGATATCCAGATGACATTGCTATACTGTAAAACCGAATAAGGTATAAAAGTGCAAGCAGAAATTAAAAAGACAAGATTTCTTCTGAACATCAAAAACAATATAGTTGTGATGATAACTGCAAGATAAAAATTAATCAGTTCAGGATTTTATTTTCCTCAGGATCAAAACTGAATAAACAAAGACCTCAAAGTTAAACAATGGGAGCGCTGCAATGACAATCATGGAAATGATTTCAAAAAGCATTGTTTTGATACCAAACGCAGAATAATGAACTCTATCATTTTTTCCTGTCACTACCTACAGTTGCAAAACACCGTTTGGATAATAAGAAAAGTAGAGTGGGGGGGGGGACCTAGACTCCCTCAAATTATGGGTTTGGAGATGATTATCTACATACCTTGGACGGCAAAAATGATGAACAAGAAGATCACATTGAACCAGAAATATCACTGGAAGCTAAGATTACCAAGCTAAGGCTGTCTTATTTTGATCATGTCATATATTAGAATTCCTTTGAAAAATCAATTATACTAGGAACAATTGAAGAAACAAAACAGGATCAGCAAATAACATTCTTGAGAGGTTCTATCAAGCAAAATACTGCTTTAAACCTAGAAATATTAAATAAAGTTGTAAAATATTAGAAAGAATTTAGAATAATCTATGAAGTCTCTGAAAGTTGGATGTGACTGAACTGATGAAAAGAAACAAGCGGAGTAACCACTTCAATATGATGGTGCTTTCTGAAATGTGAGGTATGCATTTCATCTCAATAAAAATAATTTGATGGTGGTGTTTTCTAATATGGTGTACAATGATAAAACAATGAAAATATCTTATTATTCCTAACAACTAGCAGAATATTTATAGGTCTGAATTCAGCTATTAATGCAAAAACATCAACAAATCAGAAACAATATATATTTCACATCTCATGTTTATTTCCAGTTTGTGATTCACCATATTTTATCATGACAAATGCAAAAGTGTAATCTAGATAAAATAACTAGAGTTAGTCTTGGTGAAATAAATAAAAATAAAATAATAATAAAGCTAGAAATAAAACATACAAGTAAAATAGCTTCCTGTAATAATTTCCCCTGTACTTGGAGGTTCTAAATAGACTTGCCAGCATCTTCATTTCTTTATTATCTTTATCCTTTATTATCATTTAAAAGTTAATTTAACACATTTTATTCTTATAAACAGCCAGGAAAAAAAACATGGGTTATAAAATCTTCTTTAGAATATACTCAACTTTTAATTAGCTAAAATACTGTAGAAATAAGTTAGAAATCCACAGTGTGGGTAGTATTTGATTGGCAGTCTTCTGAAGCAGGAATATGGTAATAATAATAATATACGTAAACTGATTATTAAAAAAAAAACATAACACAGTCATCAAAATGATTCTCTGGAACATCTGTAAAAATTTTAATTAATTGAAAATTTAATTAATAAATTTTTAATTGTGCCAGCAATTAAAAACTGAACACAAGAGTTGAAAACAGTAGTAGAAAACAAGGGGGTTAAAATATTGTATGATTTCTGAATACAGATCGATAATCTTGGTTCATAATGCATCAGATATAACTGTGGCTGAAAAAAAGAAACTATGGGTAATTGATGTGGCAATACCAGAGGATAGTACAATAGAAAGCAAAGAATTGGAGAAGATCACAAAGTATTAAGATCTAAAAACTGAAAGATTATGGGCCTAAGCCTGCCATAATGATCCCAGTGTTTTTGGCATGCTAGGTGCCATACCAAAAATTCCTGGATGGCACTTAGAAAACCTGCATATTGACAAAAATTGTATCCATCAATTGCAAATAGCCACTCTGCTTGAATTGCATATATTATGCAATATGACATTCCAGGTTCTTGAGAAGAACTCAATGCTTTTGAAGACCAACACCAGCTAAAGAAGTGGCAGCTATGGATTCACATTCTTGTGAACAGATAATAATATAACAATTCCTCCAAACTTTTCATACCAAGCCCATATTGGTGCTGGCTGCATAGAGCCATAATTTAGCAACTTCTGGAGACCTCCTATGTGGCACCTTTTGCATAAATTTATGTCTTAATTAAAAAATCAAGGTATTAATACTTTGTCAAAGGAACTCATCTAGAAAGAGAGTGAAAGGGGAAATTGTCGATATCTGTGATTAGATCACTGCAAGAGCAGCAGAGATATATCAGTTAACTATATTATGGCCCTCTGCAACTAAATAGCGACATAAAGAGCTTTGACGCAGACATCATCTTTAAGAAGAGTTGGCCTTTATGTCTAGTCTTTTTTTTTTCCTGATTTTTTGTCCTAGAAATAGATTTACTGCTTATCTTGACTACTGCAATGAACATTGTTTTGAAATGGGCTTGATTAACATGCATTGGCCATCGATTTGGCTGTGTGTCAAAGAGAGTGTACAACACACAAAACACTTAAGCCAAAACTTTTATAGATAATACACAATCAATACCATGTCTTTTTTTCCTTTGAGAATTATTTTATATGAGAAAAATTATTCATTATTCCAGCTAATTAACAAGTTACTGAGTTGTGAAATAAGACCATTAACATAATATTTTGATGATTTCAATAATACCAAAATGCTAAATAAGTCTGAAATCCTTAATGAACTTTAATCATCCAGTCCACATTGTTGTAATCCAATTCAATATATCTTCATAGAGTTGATTAGCTTAGATTGCATAAAATATTTCTATTATTTTATTATTCATTTGCAATGTGCCCTTTATATTGGTCATCATAAAACAAATATCCTATAGGTAAGATGGTATCCTGACTACAGTTAACAATATATCTGAATACAATAGCATTTTAATACCCTCCCAAATGTTTGGGGTCCCAGAAGTCATTAACTATTCATCCCAGTGGCCAGGGCCATGGTTACTGAGGCTATTTCCTAAACATTTGGAGACCATCATGTTGCCCAATTCTTCTTTTGAGTAATGTTTTTAGGGGGGAAACCCTTAATGCCCAGATTGTTACCCAGCCCTCCATATCGTCAATATTGCTAAATATTCCTCCATTCAACTGAATATAAACAAATTTATTTTTCCCCATATAATAATTAAACATCCCATTCAGTTTATGCCTTGTGCTGGTGCCCTATAGCAATGATTTTGTGATAGCTGGAACCCTTGTTTCTAATAAGTCTTATAATTTACTTGTGCTATTAGGCTAGGAAAGAGAAGAGAAACTTATGGCCCACCAAATGGTGCTGAACTGTGACTCTCAGAATACTCAGTATGTGTCATCAATGGTGAGGAATGAGCTAGGAGAATTTCAGCAACATCTGGAGGGCCACAGATTCACTTCTCCTGGCATAATGCTAATTTAAAAACCGTGTAGATTCTATCTGCAAATACTTACAAAGAAAAGAAGGTTGAAGAGGAAAAGAAAATATTTTGTGACTTTCAGGCAGCCTGACGCCATCTTTCTTCTTATTATTATTCAGACCTAGGAAGTAGAAAGAACTAAATGAATAGCCATCTTTGATATTATTCTGCTCTTCTCACCCACCCCGACTGCATACAAGATATGCCAGGTAACCCAACATAGGATTCACATTGTCTTTCCTTTCTGGTATTTGTTTTCCAATAGATGGTTTGATCTGTTAAAAGGAAACATTCTTAGATTTCCCCCTATTCAAAATTTGCTCGGAACTCAAAAAAAGAAAGAAACCTCTTCCAACTATACCCAAACAGAAATGAAACAGCTGTGCAATGTGCCTTAGCTTGTGTTGATATTTCAAAGTTGAAGACCAATGCTGAATAGAGACAATGCGTATTTGTTTTACCTAGTCAATCATCAGAGACTTTCACTTTCTATGACTCACCAAAAACTTACCTTTTCCGTAGCTGTTAAAATAGGAAATCAGCTGGCAATTCTCATGACCCATATTGAGCAACTAGAATCTGACAACATCCTTAATGACCTTCCATAACAATGCAACAGGAAATAAAACATGACAGTCTTAAGTGCAGCTAGCCCTTCAACCACCAGCAGATCAGATCAGAGCTTCCTTGTGTGAAATAACCATTCAGCAAAGGAAGGTGGAATAAAGCCAGATATGATGCTCCAGTCTAAAACCTGCTTCTAATCCTGTTAGGTTATTTAGGTCAATACCAAGATCAGAATGGAATTAGAACATCTTTCTCCCCCAGGCACTAGCACATTATATTATCTTACACATTATCTTATATACTACATTACATACTATGTATTATGTTCCATATTAAGGATGAAAATATTTAAACAGGATAAACAAATGGAAACACATTACTGAGAGTAGCTGAGTGAAACATGAATGCAGATAAGATGCTGTAGGATATGGTCAGCCTGTTTTCTAAAATTGGCATTTTCTATCTTAAGCGTTTCAGAAACAGCTCTTCTTCTTTCCAAGATAAATAAGGGGAGGGGGAGGAAGACAACTTAGGAAACATTTTCTTAAGTTTAAATTATATGCACATTGCAAAAAAAGAGTAATTGCTCCATGTATTTTAGTAGTGTAAGTATAGCTGCTATTTATACAAACAGAATTCCGTTGGGAGCGGGGCATCCACTCAAGTTACTGCTTGAGCAAAACTCAAGTGAAATTTGCAAATGCCACATTCGAGAATGATCTTCCAAATGGATAATCCTCAGCAAAACCCATAAGCCCCCAGAGTTTCTAACCAGCAGGAACAACAGCTTGGAATTCTGAGAACTGAAGTTCTAACACATCTGGGACATAATGTTGGGCATCAAAATGGTTTCCCATAGCTGATGGTATAATAGGATATTTTGTTTAGGACAATGCTAAATGCAGGATTTCTGGATATATTTAACCTGAAGTTCACACTATCGTGCATATCTTGTTTATTTGGGCTTTATCGGAAAAGATGTTTTTTTCTGTAGGTCGGAAGATGCAAATTCACAATCTATTCATTCTCATTTTGTAATATAAACCCAGCCAGCCTTTTTGGAAAAGCATACATCAATAAGACCAAACACATAGCATGTTTTGCTGCTCCACTTCTTTATTCCTCCACTGCCTCAGCTTCCAAACAGCCTACTGAAAGAAGTGTAAAAGATACTGTGGGAAAGGGAAAGAAGGGTATGACGAAATGTCCAGGTTTTTTTCCAATTAAAAAAAAAAAAAATTTCGAAAGCCTTTTCTGAATAGCTCCTCATGAACCCCAGGGAATCCATCAAAGCTACAGAAAACCGAATTAGCACTGCATTATTAGTCCAAATTCCTGTTTCACATGTTAATGCCCAGCTATCTTGTCCTGCAACATGCACAATATTACGAATACAAAAGGCCAACTTTGGACTTCATTCACAAAAATTGGTATAAGCATTTGCCCATAGATCAAACTCAACCTAGCTATAATCTGAAACGTTCCTAAACAGTATTAACTCCTCATGTCTCTTTAACAAACTATATTATCTTTAGCCCTAAGTTACTGAAAAAACCATCACAAATCTGTATCACCAGAATGTCACAGGTTCTTTTAACTATATTCAATTTACTGGACTCCATATCCAAAAGAGCCAACAACAACACAGGTCCCTAAACAACACATTCAAACAAGCATTCACAGCTATATTCACGACTTACTCCTACTCCACTCTTGCACACTACTCCTACTGCTACTTCTCATGAGTCCTATTAGTCCTACTCCTTGTGAGTTTTGCTAGAGAAAATTATTTCTTTCTAGCTGCTTCAGGCATACTTCCACATACAAATACCTCTTGCCTCTCCTCTCTTTCACATACCACGTTCTTTCAGCACAGCACATTATCCTGCTAATTGAGGAAAGGCTTAAAGCAGGCGTGTCAAACTCAAGGCCCGGGGACTGCATCTTAGGGGGCGTGCATAAGCGCACCAATGTGCCTACCATCCCTATCCTATTGTTTCTTTTTTTATTTTTCTTATATGTATCCATTTCATGTATTCATAACTATGTTTATACTTACACCTATTATATTATAATCACTTGAATGAATGAATGAATGAATGAATGAATGAATGAACAAATAAATAAATAAATAAATAAATAAATAAATAAATAAATAAATAAATAAATAAATAAATCTGGCCCATGGGGTACTTAGATCTGATCCACAGGGCTGCGCTGGAGACAGCAAAGGACCGGCCCGCAGTGTCTCTGCCTACAGAACGGAGCTTGCAAAGGTTGTGCACAGACCTCCCGAATTCTGTTTTCGCTGGCAGAATGCTCAGGCCACCACAGTCACCCCTCCCTCCCGACGTGAGTGATATCATGCTGACCATGTCCATCCTGACCCAGATCCCTGAGGTCAAACACAACCCTGATGCGGCCCTCAATGAAATCGAGTTTGACAGGACAAGAGAAGCATAGGTGCTGGCTATTTTCTGGGTAGCTTGCTCTTTCTCACCCAGAATCAGTGATATTATCAATCCACCAATGAACAATACCATGATATATATTACTGGGGTAGAACCTATAACACAACTACTCTTCTATACACAAACTATTGTTGGGCCTCCCATATGAGAGGTACAGTATACTGCAGGATCCAATCTGGGTTGGTCCCTGGGACCAAAGGTTTAGTCTTCCATGCTTTCGGACTCATGATGGAGCCCATTCTCAGATAACTTCTATCAGAATGTATTCCACAACATTCCTGCAACTTATCCTGGGATGTATATATTTGCCTTCATTCAGTATACGCTTACATGCAGAAATAAGGCATTTACAAAAGCTATAGTTGGAAAAAAAAAAATAGAGAAACCACTGCACAAAGGCATTACCTTTCTCAAAGTAATTATTTTTATGATAGGAGCATCACATTTCTTATAATTACATCCTTTACTGTGAAAACTGGATTCCAATCAAGAGGGGAAATATTATCTCTTGCCAACTAAATTATTGGAAACCTTTGATTGCTCGTATGTGTGCACACATATAAATACACACATTCATTTTCCATTCAGAAAGATTGTTCCCCTGTGTTAATCAAAACTCGTTTTTGTTGTTCTAATTTTCAAGTCTGTAAACAAGTTACCGTATATGCCGGCGTATAAGACGACCCGGCGTATAAGACGACCCCCCAACATTTCCACTCAAAATATAGTTTGTTATATACTCGCCCCCTCTTCCGCACGCCTTCCACTTTTGCACTTTTTTTTTTTTTTGAGGCACTTTTGTCTACCGTGGAAACGAATCCTGTGAAGCCGAAAGGAGCAGCCAGCCTTCTCCCAGCTC